CATCTGGTCAAGGATAACTAGAGAGAAGAGTTGATGACTGTCAGCAGACAGGGTGTTTAATATTATTATTATGATGTGTATAACTGTAGCCTTAGCCATAATATGTTCTTATGTTTAAGTCATGACATGTTACTAGAGGTCGTGTGAGAATGTTTTTAGCTACACACCACTTAATCAACAGACACACACACACATTGATTTGCTTCATGTTTTGACTACTGCTATGACCAGCTGCAAAGCTGGTAACAGAGACGTCTCGGTTGACGTTTCTGTGTAGTATGGGGCTAGCCCAACCGAGGGGATATAATGTATAGGCCTGGTGGGTTCAGGGGCTTCCATCTTTCATCTGCCTGCGAGCAGTTTGGAGGTGGAAGATACCTGAGCGTGTAATGTAAATTTTACCTGTGATCCTTTGAATAAATCAGCACTGTTTTGAAGTTACTTGGACTGTCTCGTCTTTCAGAGTTAGCAATGGTAAGAAGAACCAAAGTCTAACAACATGTAACGCAGACCTAGAGACTCATAAATTGTTAACCTTTCTATTTTCCTCGTGAATTTAACATTCCCATTCTCATGGGAGTGTACATAACATTACATGCACACGTTAGCGCACTACGGCTCCTAGCCGAACTGATAACTAGCCTGGAGCTAGAACATCCTGACTCTCTCATTGGACAAACTGCCCAAATACAGACAGCACGTCACCTGTCCCACCAGGGACAAAAATCACACTGGACCACTGCTACACAACAATAAAAGATGCCTATCGCTCTGTCCCCCACACAGCCCATGGACTCTCAGATCACTGTATGGTCCATCTTATTCAAACCTACAGGCAGAAACTAAAAGCTGCAAAGCCTGTGGTCAAAACAGTGAAGAGCTGGACTGAGGAGGCTAAGTTAGAGCTACAGGCCTGCTTTGACTGCACAGACTGGAGTGTATTTGAGACTGCAGCTACAGACCTGGATGAACTCACTGACACTGTCACATCTTGTATCAGCTTTTGTGAGGATGTGTGTGCCCAAAAAGTCATTCTGCACATACAATAACAACAAGCCCTGGTTTACAGCCCGACTCAAGCAGCTTTCTCTGTGGAGGGCCATCAATTAGCAGACAACCTGAATGTGTTCTACTGCAGGTTTGATAAACTCCCTCCTCACCTCAGACCCAGCAGCTTCTCCCCCGACAATCACCATCATTCCCTCCAGGCCCCAACCTCTAACGCGTGGCCTCTTTAAAAAAAACAAAGGATCAGAAAGGCACCAGGCCAAGTGTGCACTGATCAACTGGTCCCCACTTATCAGCTGATAAGTGTGAACACTCATCTTCAACAGGTCACTGGACCTGTGTGATGTCCCCTCCCGCTTCAAATGCTCCACCATCAATCCAGTCCCCAAGAAAACTCCTATCAACGACTACAGACCTGTCACCCTGACACCTGTAGTTATGAAGTCCTTTGAAAAGACTGGTGTTGGCCCACCTGAAGGACACCGTAGACCCCCTGCTAGACCCCCTGCAGTTTGCCTACCAGGCAAACAGGTCAGTGGACGATGCAGTGAACATTGCACTGCATTAGATCCTGCAACACCTCGACTCCACAGTGACCTATGCAAGGGACCTCTTTGTGGACTTCATCCCGGCATTCAACACCATCATCCCAGACTGACCAAGCTCACTGTGCCTGCCCCCACCTGTCAGTGGATTACTAGCTTTCTGACAGACAGGAAGCAGCAGGTGAGGCTGGGGAAAACCACATCCAGCATGAGCCACAGCACCTGGGGTGGCTGTGGCTCATGAGGTAGGGCAGTCGTCTCCTGACCAGCAAGTTGGTGGTTCAACTCCCGGTCTCCCCGCATGCCTAAGTGTCCCTGAGCAAGAAGAATTGCTCCCGGTGGCTTGACTAGCGCCGGTGCTGTCGTTATCGGTGTGTGAATGGGTGAATGGTGTATGATCTTCTGTAAAGCGTTTTGGCCAGTGCAACACACTGAGAAAGCGCTATATAAAATACAGCCCATTTACCTGGGCATCATTTACCCCAGGGATGTGTACACCAGCAACTGCATCTCAAAGGACCCCTCTGTCAAGCTCCTAAAGTTTGCAGATGATACAACGGTCATTGGTCTCATCCGAGACAGCGATGAGTCAGCATACAGATGGGAGGTTGAGCAGCTGGTCCTGTGGTGTAGCCGCAACAACCTGGAGCTGAACACGCTCAGTGGAGATGACAGTGGATTTCAGGAAGAACCCCCAACAATGACTACAGCTCCGCCTTCAACACAGTTGTCCCCCACAAACTGTCCACACTAGATCTGCACCCCACCCTCTGTGACTGGCTCCTGGACTTTCTGACTGGCAGGCCCCAGACTGTCAGGATTGGCAATAGGATTTCAGCCAGCATTGTTACAAACACTGGCACCCCATAGGGATGTGTCCTCAGTCCCATCCTCTACAACCTGTTCACCCACGACTGTGTTGCCTCCCACAAAGACAACATCATCCTAAAGATTACGTACGACACCGCAGTGATAGGTCGTATCACTGGCAGGGACGAAACAGCCTACAGGAGGAAGGTGACCGGTCGGGTGTCATGGTGTGAGGACAATAATCTCAGCCTCAATACGGACAAGACGAAGGAGATAATAGTGGACATGAGGAAGGAGAGGAGATCTCATCAGCCACAGGCACAGGGACAGTGTCTTTTCCCCAGGCTGTGGCTCTGATGAACACTTAACCCATGATAGTATGACTGCAAAATACTCGTAAATGTACATTGTCAAATGTCATTTCCTAACCGGAGGATTAGCGGTTCGATTCCCGGCTTGTCCAGTCAACATGTCGAAGTGTCCTTGAGCAAGACACTGAACCCCCAGTTTCTCCCGTTGATGTCACCGGTGTGTGAATGCGTGAGTGCTTGGGAATGCGAATGGATGAATGGCCGAATAATGTGAAAGCGCTTTGAGTATACTGTAAAAGCGCAGAGAGGTGCTATACAAGTATAAGACCATTTATACTGCTTATTTTGCTATATTACACAGCCTTATGCTGGTTTACCGTTTGCATGGCGATATATACATACACATTGAGAGCCAATGTACCAGATTCAAATTCCTCATGTGTCAGAATCTGCTTTGTTGGCCAGGTGTGCCGGATTCTGAATTTATTTTAAAACCATGACTGTTGGCCACATACAATATTCTTACAATATCTAATAAAAGTGAAAAGCACCATAAGAAACAAGATTACCTGAGTCAGTATCTATGGGGATGAGTCCTTCTGGGGAGGAGCTCTGGACCACAGGGGAGACCACATCAGACATTCTGTAGCACACAGCAATCAGCTCTGACACCAGACATCTCCACTGCTCAGTCTGGCGCAAACTCCTAAACGCACACACACAAGCACATATCACGTAAGCAACAAAACAACACAAATAAGCAGGCAACCTAGGGCATGGATAAATTTGCTCTTTAAATACAATATGTTGCTGCACTCCAAAAAGAAGTCGGTTGTTGTTGTGATTGTTGTTCTCACACAGTGTTTAGATGCTGCAGTACAGCTGTGATGCAGTGAGCTCTGCCATATAGAGGATAGGAAGCAGCTGCCTGTAAGAGAGACGACTCAGCTCTCAACACCTCTGACTGCAGACAGCGCAGCAGGAACTGCACCACTGAGGACAAACACACAAAACAATACACGTTTAACATCTAATAGTCGATTTTGTGTATATTTAGCATATACTGTATATCAAATTATTAGGGCCATTCACTTGCATCTTACCAGCCAGAGTGTTGTGCTCCAAGATGAGTGCCTCAGATGTCTGGGGTGGTGGGGATGGAGGCTGGAAATCCAGACCTTGCTCCTGTGCACATAGTAGCAGAGCCTGGCTCAAGTCTGGCAGGTGCAGCAGCAGGTTGAGGAGATGGGCTGCTGTAACACTGTTAAATGGTTTAGTGCTCATACTGAGGTCCAGAGCAGCCTGAAGGACACCAAGCATCCTCTCTGGCACCTAAAAAAGTCAAACTCAACAACTTTATTAATTCCACAAGGGGCAATTAGTCTGGGGGGTCAGCTCATACAGGAAAATACACATATAGGACACACACACACACACACACACACATATAAAACAACACAAGTGATACTATGGGGATAGGGATGGGGAAACCTGCAAAGTGTTTAACTGTATAGCTCATGGAAGGGCACTAAACAAAAGGCTCATTTTTACTAAGAAAAATCTAAAAGCTACACTTGTATAAACTGTATTTCATTCAGTTTTAAAATACTAGGCTAAAAATATTTTAAAGAAACTAAAAATAACTAAATCACTAACTGGCAAAATAAAAACTCAGATTTGTTTAACCTGTAGTCCCACAGCTGTTGGAGGGAGTTGCCGTAGTAATGTTGCCGCCAGCTGTTTGACTTCCAGGAAGTTGCTGGCAACACAGTAGAGGACATTCTGAGCATGTTCAGAGGTCACAACTTCACCAAGGGCAAACAAATCAGGCCCTGATGAAAAGACAGAGGTGGAGGTAAAGGAACATGCACTAGGACAGTGAGACAAGAGGCAGAGCACACACTGAGGCAGCAGGAGCATCAGCCTGGCAGCACAGTAAAGAGGCCGACCAGTAATGGGTAGTTTACTGATTCAGTCACCAACAGAAAGATGGATTCCAGAGCTATGAGTTGGCCCAGAAAGCATCATCATAAAGGTGTCCTTGAGTAAAGCACTGAGCTGAGCATGATGGACCGAACAGAACACTGTGTTCTCACCTCTCTGGTGCCATTACTGTGTGCATGACAACAGTGGTCCTTAAAATAAAGTAAATGACTATCTGTGATCTTGTAAAACTGCTTCAGAAGTAACTAAGTAATAAGTGTGTGTGTGTGTGTGTGTGTGTGTGTATGATAGATAGATTCTTTTTGCATTATAATTAATCACTGCATTAATTGCTTTCAGATTTCCAGTCTAAACAAATTTAAAAAGCATCACCTTTCCAGTGATCACATGAAACACAGTACATGTACTTTGGCAGGACATTATGTTACTAACAGTATGATCCTATTTTCACAGCTGGTATGCTTCGTTAACCTTGATAACTTATCTCTAACTGCAGCTGGTGAGCATTAGGTGTACCGGTTGTGAAGGTGAAGAACTGGCCCAGCAGACACAGCAGGTGGAGAGACATGAGGCATTTAGAGAACGAAGCTCCAGGAAGCAAAACCTCCAGCAGCCTCACACAAAGCCCCCGCAGGAACACCTTTATTACACACACACACACACACACACACACACACACACAATAAAGCTTTATTTCAACCAAAAAAAAAGACTATTAGGAAAATGCATCAACACTAGAGGGAAAAACTGAGTTCTGATGATCTACAGTGAAAACTCTGCATTAATGGTGTGTGTGTGTGTGTGTGTGTTATACCTTGTACTGATCCAGTGTGTGTTGGTCTCTCTCCCTCTGCTCCTGGTCTCTCTCCTGGACCACTCTCTTCTGTAGCAGCTGAGTGCTGTCCTTCACTCTACAGAGCAACTGTAGAAGTTTCACAAAGTAATGATTTTAATTAAATCAAACCTCAAAGAGTTATTATTGTGGATCCCACTAAAGACATTTGAATCAATATCAATGAATCCAAGAATCCCCCCAGCATAAACCCCCAGGCTGCTGCTCCCAGCCAAGCCGACATTTCAAATGAGAACCTATTATACACACACTACAAATACACAGCTGACCTTCTTCAGCAGGCTGACAGTCTGCTGTCTGACCCCTGGTGACTGGTTGTTCAGGTTGGGCAGCAGGAAGTAGCAAATAAGGTCAATTTCCTGTGACACCACAAGCTCAGTGCTGCGGTGACTCACACACACAAACCCCAAAGCGTCCATTCTCACCTGGGTGGTATGAGGCAATGACAAATTAAATCACACGTCACAAAATGTACAGAAACGCAAAAAATCTTACAATGAAGAAAAAAAGATGAATACACACTCATTTAGAAAAACACATACTCACTTGATCATGTTTATGAATCAAGGCTTGCTGGAGCAGGGAGAGGGGCACTAGACCTCCCCACAGACCCTCCTCTGTGGATGAAACAACACCCTGGGCCCTGGCTGCTCGCAAACATGTCATCAGAGCTCCCAGTGCACCCCTGCTGCCTGTAGGTCCTAAAGAGAAATGAAAAACAGTGTCCACAGAACAGTTATACATTTTTCAGATGGCCATGACTATGTTAAAGGATGTTCTCACAAATACAATGACTCATGCAACAACAATGTTTGGTGAAAGTTGGAGACATTTATATTCAGCTGACACACCATAAGAATAACCAGAAGGTAGTAGATAAATGGAGCTGCAGGTTTATGCAATGTGAATTGTTGTACGTGCAGACAACTGTTTTTGTGCCTTTACCTGAGCTGCAGGGCATTGTGTCCTGTAGCCCCTGCACCATGTGAGCCAGACTGCAGGGGCTGCAGTGGAGCAGCTTGGGCAGGAAGTAATCCAAGATGTACGTGGTCTGGTCCAGTCTGGCACTACACAGCACCTGTAGCAGGGGGGTTACCCACGTCTGGTGCCAACTTTCAAGCCAGTCCTCTGTCTTTCCTGCAGCCCCAGTGTCACTCACCAGCTGTGCCTTGTGGCTGACAAACAGCCTCTCCAGCAGGTCACTGGCATAAGGAGCCAGGGTTTGATCTCCCATCAAGCCCAGGAGACATGAAGGCAGCTGGGGCTGGAGGTTAAGCAGGTACCCTGCCCCGTAGAGCTCCACCAGGCAGCCCAACGATCCATACTTTCCCCTCATGTGCCACTCCAATCCCAATAGGCTTTTGGTGAGTTCTGTGATGTAAGGGTCCTTGAAGGGGTCAGAAGTGGAGGAGTTGGTGTGTTGATGGAGAAGGAGGAGGTTGCGGAACAGGGAGCGGGTTTGGTGGCGGACTCCGTCTAGTGGGTGCTCCCAGTGGGAGTAGATGTGCTCCAAGAGGTGTTCTTGCAGCTTGGATCCTCCACTGAGAGACTGCTGGAGGCTGGGAGGGCAGCGCTGGTCCTCTCCCTGTAGGCAGGCCAGAGCAGCATCACTCCACAAGGTTAGCACCCGAGCCACCACCATGGCTGTACTGGACTCCTTTATACTACAGCCAGCAGGATGAACATGAAAAACAGGTTATTACTTAATAAATGATTTACACTACCAGTGGATAGTTTGGACACACTTTACCATTCAACTCAATGTGTGTCCAAACCTTTGACTGGTAGTGCACATCCTACACACAGATAGTACTCAGACAAAATAATGCTACTTGCATCACTTTTAAAGCTCTTTGCAGGGCCAGTAAGCTTTTTTTCTTTTTTTTAGAAAAACCTTTTACAGTTTTTCTCAAATGCTAAAACACAAAAGCCAATCCTCTAAACCAAATGACCAGTTGTCTAAACACATTTACTAAATCTAGCCATC